AAATAAATTATATATTATATAAATTATAATTATATATAGATATATTACTTAAATTAAAATCTTTAAATTAATTATATATATATATTGCATAAATTAGAATAATAATTATCAACTTGAAAATAATTTATATTTAATATATATATGTATATAAATTTAAATAAATTATATTTTGGAGGTCACCTGGAGGGAATTTACACGACGGATATATCCGTCTGGTAAAACCAAATCTCGATAATTTGAAAATATAATCGATTATTTGAAAATATAATCGATCATAATCGGAGTATTTAAAATAGCGATTAAAGTGAAACCGCTTATTATATGTCACTTGTAAGAGCGGTTAAAGCTGAACCGCTATTACATGTTCCCTTTAAGAGCGGTTCAAATGTTAACCGCTCTTAAAAGTGACACATATATATTAAATTAAAATAAAAAAAATTATTTATCAATTATATATTATAAAAATTATAATTATATAATTAAAAAAATCATATTTATAATTATAACTTTAAAAAAATTATAACTATAAAATTAATGTTAAATAAATTATATATTATATAAATTATAATTATATATAGATATATTACTTAAATTAAAATCTTTAAATTAATTATATATATATATATATTGCATAAATTAGAATAATAATTATCAACTTGAAAATAATTTATATTTAATATATATATGTATATAAATTTAAATAAATTATATTTTGGAGGCTGCCTGGAGGGAATTTACCGACGGATATATCCGTTGGTAAAACCAAATATCGATAATTTGAAAATATAATCGATTATTTGAAAATATAATCGATCATAACGGAGTATTTAAAATAGCGGTTAAAGTGAAACCGCTATTATATGTCACTTGTAAGAGCGGTTAAACTGGAACCGCTATTATATGTTCCCTTTTAAGAGCGGTTCAAATGTTAACCGCTCTTAAAAGTGACACATATATATTAAATTAAAATAAAAAAATTATTTATCAATTATATATTATAAAAATTATAATTATATAATTAAAAAAATCATATTTATAATTATAACTTTAAAAAAAATTATAACTATAAAATTAATGTTAAATAAATTATATATTATATAAATTATAATTATATATAGATATATTACTTAAATTAAAATCTTTAAATTATTATTATTATATATATTTTTTGCATAAATTAGAATAATAATTATCAACTTGAAAATAATTTATATTTAATATATATATATATATATATATATATATATATTCTAAAATATAATTTATTTTAATTTCTATAATATATATATATATATATATATATATATATATATATATAAATGAAAATAAGTTATATTTTGGAGGTCTGCTGGGAGGGAATCACTTCCTCCTATTTTACCGACAGATATATCTCTCGATAATTAATAGTTCATTTACCGACGGATATATCTGTCGGTAAAACCAAATTTCACAACTATCTTAAATCCGTCAGTAATTACTCATTTTCCGACGGCTCTATATCCGTCGGTAAATATCCCTCGGTAAATCAGAAATATCTTGTAGTGCAATAAATTCGTCATATTTTACTTTTTAGTTATTAGTAATTTCTTTTCCTTTTTTTTTTTTCTTTATGTTTGTCAGGTCATTTTAGTCTTAAAGAAATCATGTTCGCATTATCATCTTAAAAAAAATTGTGACGGAAAGAGACAAAAAATTTTGAAAAATATTTTTAAAGAATGTTTGGTCTGTCTTGTAGTTGAAATGTGAATGTGGTTGATAAGCATACAATCATAAACTACCCAACTTGCAAAACTAATTAATAACTAAATCAAATAAATATATAAATAATCCAGAAATTTTAAAATTATGAATCAAATAAGGTAAAATAAATTTTAAAAGCAATCAATGTTACTTATATTTATAAGAATTAAAAACTTATTTAATCCTTAGATTAGTTTTTCTTAAGTTTAATCAATATTTTAGTTAATATATGCAACAATTAAAGAATATATAGAAGGAGTTAATTTACAGTACCTGTCCATAACAATTTTAAATAAGCAATAAATTAAATTATAATAAGCTAATTTGTAGTGAAGTTGTTTATGTTTAATTCTCCGGCATGAATAAGCAATTTTATCTGGAGATCTTTTGTCAACCATATCTGGTAGTAATCAAAGGCTTCGCCATAATTACTCTCTAAAAGATTTTGCATCTTCAAAAAAAAAATGGATAAGAAAAAGTAATTCAGAACATTTTAATTTATAAAAAGACAAAAAAAAAAATTGGTGCTCATAAAAAAGTTTTCATTTTATGAGAGAGATTAATAAAAATTATTACTGCAAAAAATTTAGTTATTCGCCTATTACTTTATCAAAATTTTATAATCATTTTCGTTTGGATAGTAAATAAATTATGTTCTTCCCTTTATCTTTGTTTTTTTTTTTCTCTTTTCCTTGAAAAAAAAACACAAAATTCAACGTTTAAAAAAATTAGAATTATTTTTAAATTTAGAATAATTTTAACTTTTTAATACCTCTTCCTTTTTGTACATGGTTTGTTATTTTTAAATCTAGAATAATTTTAACTTTTTAATTAAAAAATATATATTTATAGGCACTAAAAATTTGACCAACCCTATGTTCAATTATGAAATCTATCAATGCTTCAATATTTTACAACAGTATCATGTTTAAAAAATAAAGTTTTTTCGTTTTGTTTTTTATCGTATAAATTGAATTCAACGGAAACGGTACACTAAAATTAGGTTATCAAAACCAATAATATAATTTAACCTGACCTGATTCAAATTATAAAAAAAAATATTGATGAACCAATTTCACATATAATTTAAAATAGATAATATTTTTTATTTAATTTAGTTATATATTTGATCAAGGAGTTAATGATGAATTTTAACTTAATTAAAAATTTAAAATAATTTTTTAATATGTTTATATAAAAATAAATAAATTTTAAAATGTAAATAAAATAAAAAAGATTTTTTAAAATTTTAATTTATATTAATAGTTTTTTAAAATAAAATGATTAAATGTATAAATTAAAATAGAAAAAAATATTTATTTTTAAAATAAAAGTTAAAATTTTACTTTTCATTATTATTATTAATTTTAGTAATATAATATTTTAAAATAGTAATTGATAATTTGGATTTTGTAATAAATAGAATGCTAGTGACTTATTTTTAATAAATTTGTTATATATAAATGTATATATATATATATATATATATATATATATACATATATATATATATATATATATATATGATATTTTAAAAATTTTAAACCACAAATATTTTATAAATAATTAATTTGAATAAATAGACTTACTAATGAATAGGATTTATATATTATTATTTTATAAACCAGTTTATAATTTAATCTGATTTATGTCCATTTAGGTCTTAATTAAAATAAATATGATAAAATTGATTTGATTCGATTCAAATTATAGAATTTTTATTTATTTTATTTTATTTTTAAATTTTTAAAAATTAATACTAAGTCTATTTTATTTTCACAAATATAAATATAAAGAAAATAATTCTTTCGACAAAATGAGACAGATGATAAAGAAAAAAAATTATATTATTAATTTTATTTATCATTTATTGATATTTTTATGTTACAAAACAACTTTTTTCTATTTTCTCAAAATCATATTATAATTTTTAAACCTACAAAATACTTATATAAGAAGTAGTATCTTATGTCATTTAATCAAGCGATTAAAGCTTTAACCTAGTAACGTTATTTTTTATACGGAATAAATGATATTAGAAAGGGTTCAATAGATTGAAACTATAATTCGAAAAAATTATATATATAAACTATTTAATATTTTGACAAGGAGATATATTTGATATTCTCAAAATGGCTTTTGGGGAATTGGATCTTATACCTATTCTTATATTAATTAAAATATAATATAATATGGTTGATTTATAATTTGAAAATTATATTTAGTATAATTTAACTGATTTTATATTTAATTTGGAAACTAACAATTATTCAAACTATTGGTTCGGCCCAGAATGAATGAATAAAACTTGATTCAGCCCATTCTCTCATTAAGCAACCGAATGAGTACAGCCCAATTTTTATATATAAATAAAATATGATTCGGCCCAAAATATTAAAAGAAAAAAGGAGAGGATAGGGTATTGGTCCAATCTTTAAAGAAATAGCAAAATTAGAAAAAAGAGCAAGCAAATTGGCTACGCCCAGCGTCCTAGTCTTCTATCTTTTTATTTTTTTTGTGATTATAATCCTTATTTTTTTTTAAATATGAAATGTTGATCAAATTATTTATTTTAAATACTCTTTATTTTTATTTTTAAATATGTAATTTTATTCTGTAAAACTAATCTAATTAACTAACCTAAAAAAAATAAATGCATACAAATTTAATCATTTTACAAACAGTACAGACTTTTTTAAAATTCAAGGACTAGAATCATAGAAAAAATGAAAAATGTTTAAAGGAGAATCAAAATTACAATTGAACCGAAAGAACATGTTTTTTTTTTTTGGAAAACAAAAATACAAAATAAACAAAAAATGGTAGGTACAAAAAGCAACTCCTAGATATAAAAGTACCAGGACAAATTGGGCCTAGCCCAATGTATTCAGATATTGAAAAGGATCAAACCAATCGGATTATTAAAAATTACTTCTACCACTACTGTTTTCAACTTACGCACCTCTTCCTTCATTTTAATCTTTCTCCCAACTATCCAAATAAAATTCTCCCATAGTCTCTCTCCATGTCATATCCAAATAAAATTACTTCTACCATCTCAATGTATTTACAACTTATTTTTTGTCAAAAAAATTAATGGAAGTTTGAGCAATCAAACAAAAGTCACACTTACTAATAAAGAAATTAGCAATGAAAATTTTGATAAAAACTTCTACCTTGAAACTCTGGTGCTTTATTTTAAATTATTTTAATTAATGTTTTTTTTTCTCAAACTCATCCAAAATTATCAAATCTTGAAATCACATCCTTCCTTCCTTCAACCACACCGAATACATGCCATCTCGGGCGATTTCCCCCTCTTTTTTACCATATTTCTTGCACTAATGACCATTTTAACTAATCACATGATCGATTATATTATTAACGATATATAGTTTTATGTTCATTATGTTACAAGAAATAAACTTTTCCCACATTTCATCTCATTCGTGGGCCTAAAAAAAATTACATCTTTTACATTTTCTATTTTTGGGCTTTCTACACTCCCACCCAAATTCAAGCACATGTCATCCCCTAAATATTGGCACATTCCTCCTCCGAATTCAAGTTGTCATTTTGGAGGTCAAATGTATTAAACTAAACTTTGTGTATGTTGTTTTAGTTTTAAGTGTATGTGTATTTTCTCTCAACTTTTGTGTTTCAATATCATACTTTATTTAATTAATGTATGATTTGATCAACTATACTTATTATTATTATTATTATTATTAGAAAATGTCTTTCTAACCTTAAACTAGAATCGTACAATTAAAAATAAAATAAAAAAAAAAAATATATATATATATATATATATATATATATATATATATTGAAAGTTATTCATGTAAGAATGATATACGAAAGGATAATATATTGTTTATTATTTTAACATTTTTACTTAATTTGATTTTTTATGTTAAAGTTGATTGTTATAATTTTATTATTTATATTAAAATAAATACCAATAAAAAAGAAATGATAGTTTAAAAAATAGCAATGATATAAAATATAATCTATTTGATTAACTAATGATACAAATACTTATATTTTGATCCGTAATAATAATATTTTATAATTTAAGATGTTTTAACTAAAAACAGACAATAACTGTCAGTTTAATCTGATTTTTAAATTAATTTATTATATACATATTACGTGGATTCATAACTATAATATTTTAATTTACCCTCTTCAATCTAAATGTATATTATTCATTTAGAGGTGTTTTAAATGAACAAATGCTTGAATAATTCACAAAACACTTACTATCTAATAATTGTCCTTAAATAAGATTAAATTGAACTCTGATGCATTAGTCTCCACTCTAAGAATTATGTGTGGCGTAGACGAAGGAAGAGAAAACAAATTGATATTGATACGAGGATAAAGGGTAAGATAATTAAAAAATTGAATGTAGAGGTGAAGGCATTTATTTGGATTGTATTCCACGGGCGAATGACGTGGGTGTGAGTAGGATGGAGGGGGGAAGGAATACATTCTTTGTGTGTATTTTATTTTTATGTTGTGTGGTTGACGGTTTAGATTATAGAAAAGAAAAAATAAAGCAATAGAATATATCAAGAATCCTCGCCCACGCACCAAACCCTGACAAAAGCACGTGGAAGAGACATTCCATGAGTCAGCAACGCAGAGGAACAAGTTTCGCACACAGTTTGGAGCCCCCAGGGTGGTGAGGGTCTTCACTCGGTCAACATTAACGGCGCCGTTCGTTCCATATTTTATCTTTTTCCAACATTCAAAATTCTTCTCTTTGCCATCCATCATCCTCAGATATCAATTACTGCACGGATTCAGGATTCACATCCTCTGCATTGATGTTCTAAATCTCAGAATAAAATCCAATTAATTTATAAATTATCACTAATATATGTATTTATGACATATACTAAGAAAAACAAGAATAGTAAATAATATATATAGTTTAAGAAATGGGGAGTGCAAAGTTGAGTGAGGCATGAAAAGGAATATGAAAAAGGTAAGGATGAGGAGCAAATTAGCGTGAGCTACGTCGTGGGCAATCCCTTTCAGGTAGACCCAGTAATGTGCCAACTTGCTTCACAACTTGCATTAACATAAATCCAAAACCTAAAAAAAGACCATCAATCGTACCTTTCCCATGACCCCGTATTCTCGCTCATTATACACACACAATCTTATGAGTGAAGACTCGGAGATGGAGAATTCATTTGATGCCTACCAAGGTATCCCCTTATCATGCACTCATCCTCATCCATCATCTTCACCATCTATTTCCACCACCTCTCTCTCAATCACTCATCTTCTACAAACACTTCACATCAAAATATCCAACAAACATCTCAACCAAATGTTTCTCGTCTCCGTTTCATGAAAAGCTTCACACCAAATTATTCAAATAATGTATCCAACTCTAAAGCTTGTGTGTGTGAATAAGATATGAATTTCATACAAGTTCAACAATTATATATATATATATATATATATATATATATATATATATATATATATATATATATATACTTAACCTTCAATAATTTAAATCATTTCATTTTTTTAATGTCATAAATATACAATTTTCTTTACACTTAAATATATCTTTCGCGTCCTAATATATGACTACTTTTTGGTTTTAATACTTGATAATTTTTTATTTAAATTTAGTATCTAATAAATTAACAATGATGATTTATTTACGCACCTTTTTTTTTTTACTCTAGTATTTTATGCCTATAAAGTTTAAACTTGAATCATTAATCAAATATAAATTAGTTTGGTACAAATATTTTTCTCAATTTAGTTAACAATTTAATGATCATACAATATATATAAGAAAAATATGGTGACTAAATAAAAACAGTGAAACTGGATCCGCACCAAGAAGCTTGGAATTGGTTGTGGTTATTGATAGGGAGAGTAGGTGAAATCCGTGTCACACCTTTCCTCTTTCTGTCTCCTTTCGAATAATTGTGCTGGCCACCTCCACTTTTAACCTATATTCCGTTTTTGTCCAACCCCGCCATTATATTTCCCTTTTGCCCTTTCCTGTTATCTTCTCTTTAGTTTTATGTACCTTCTAACCATTTAATAACTTATATTTTTAACATATGAATATGAAAATATTTTTATTTTGTACTGTACAATTTTCATTTATATTTTGTAAATTTATTGTCTCTTCCTAGCTAAACAATCTTATACTGTGATTAATCACATGAACAGTTAAAAATAATTATTAGCCATTTATTTATATGTATAACTTATTTTATAATCAAATTTATGAAAATTTTATATATATATATTCCTTTTTATATCATATATTCGCTCAAATTAATATACTCTTACTCCCTTAAATATGTCAAATAATATTTTTTTGCTTCCTTCTTTGTCCCTAATGAGCTCTCTGTAAGATAAGAGTAGATCAGTAATATCAGTCCCATCGTTTAATCTCATTAACAGAGTCAATTACAACTACGTAAAAAATTAAATTTATATATTCGCTTTCATAAAAGGTGTGATTTGTTGAAAATTATTAAAATAATAAAATAATTTAACATAAATTAAGAAATGTTCCAAAGATGATTATTACAATGGGTTTATGTTATAATTTTTATCATTTGATCTATATATAAAATATTATATTGAGTGGAAGTGGGTGTCTCGATATAAAATGGTTTAGATCTAAAGAATTTCAAGGCATAGAAAAAATGAAAGGAGATGTAATAACATAATTAGTATAAAAATGAGAGAGAACTTCAGAACTTATACATTGAGATGTGATATAAAATAGCATTTAAAAAGAGAAGAATATACTTTTTTATTGTGAATTAGTGGAGCATAGTGGGAGAAAGAAGAATTGTTAATTAAAGAGGAAGAAGGAAACGCGACGCACAGAGAGTGTGTAGAACCTGGGGTGAGAGTATCGTAGTGATGGCGGAAATGGTGGAAGGTGAGGTATGTGTGGGGACCACAACGTAAAGTGGGGGAAGGTTTGGTGGGGTCCATGGGAAATGCGGCGAGACGCAGCATCGCAGAAATAAAAAAGAAAAGATAATAAAACCATCTTCTGCACTTGCTTAGTTGCGTTGCGTTGTTGCGTTTCTTCCTTTCTCTTTTTTTTCTTTCCTTATCTACGCCTTCTTATTGGATTAAGTCCCGGATTCCCAAAATATTGTAATGCTTATGGCTAAGTGGTGATGAAGTGGATCCCACTCGTTTCCCAAGAGGAGAAACCAATGAAACTCTCGGTAGAAGATATCGATCCAAATTCTAATTCTGAATTCAGCTGCCAATAAAGGTTTGAATCAATTAACTAAAACATTTTACATATTCTTACCAAACAACAAATGGTTTACTAATACCAACAGTTTTTCAAAAATATAGTTAAACAAATAGAACATCTTTAAAGGAATTTTTATCGTAATTACTTATAAATAAAATTAAATATTTTATGATAAGTTTCATAATTAAATTACTTAAAAATTAATCAAATTTATTTATATAAGTAATTTTTTTAATTTTAAACAACTTTTTTTATTTTTAAATAACTCAAATTAATGATTTACAATAAAATATTTACTTTCATTTTTAAATAATTCTTGATAACACCCACTTTAAAAATACTTTTATATATTTTACAAATTCAAAATATTTGTTATTATATAATCTTATTTTTCAAAAATATTTTATAAAGGTGTTATCATATTAAGAAACATTGAACATGAGATTACAATATTATCGTTTTAGAATGAATAACAATCATTTACAAAATTTATAAGAAAAAATAAAATCACAAAAAAACTTACGATCTAATATAAAGTAAAATATTCTATCACATTAAAATATAAAATACAAACTAATAAAGAAAACATTGCTTTCAAATATTAATTTATTAATTACGAAACTAGATGGTGAAACAAACGAATTTTTGATTTTTTTTGAATTTAAAAAATAATATTTAATAAGAAAGTAATAAATTAAATTTAAACAAGACTTAATTTTATATAAATTAGAAATAAAGTGTGAGCATAAATTTTGTGATAGATGCAAGGTAATGCGGTAGAAATTGAAGGAAGGTTAAGATGAAAGTCCAAAATGGGAAATTTGAATGAAAGTAAAAAAACACGTGTCACTTTAAAAGGTAAATGGTTAAAGTGATTAGAAGATTATGATGATATGGAAATTGAAAATATATCACTAGTTTACTACTACTTGTACTGTACTAGTACCTTTCCTCCCCAACCAAGAATTGGACAACACAAAGCAAGAGAGCTAAAAGTCGACGCTGACGGTAGCCGTATAATTTGGCTTTGCCATTGGCGGAGAGATACGCACCTACGCAAGAGGCAAACACCAGCTTTATTGTAGGCCCTAAATTATATTAAATATTGCGTTTTTTTTATTCATTTCTAATATTTAAAACCCTTTTTCCTTGATTCCTTCTCCTCCTTTCTTTCCACGCCTCTTTGTGTTCTCCGAAAGTCCCCTCCGTTGTTACTGCTCAGCTTCTTCCTCTCTCTCTATAGTTTATAAATTTTACCCTAAGTACACGTCACTTTTATATCCGCAGTTAAAAAGGCTGGCCATGGGTTAATTTTATTTATACTACAACTAAGATATGTGATAAAAACTTAAAAAGTTGATCCAACCAGCTACTACACCTCAATTTTTTCTGACGTCAAAGTTCCAACATGCTCAATTTTTTTATTATCCCACCTCACCCATGGCATAGGTCAAACATTGTTTAAAGCAAGAGTTCCATTCGGAACTCTTTCATAATAAATGCAAAATTGTAAGGATTGTAATATTTTGCAGAGTTGGACTCTGCACGCCTTTCCTAAAGGGACCATATAAAATTAATGTGTTAGGGGCATAGTAGCTGGTTGGTGAGGAGGAAAATTCACAGTTATGAGTTCTGTCCCGCGTTCAAAAACGACTGAATATTCACCCAATCCACAGCTTCGTATACGTTTTGGAGAAAATTAAAAACTAGATATATTCCACTGTCTACTCTTTTATTCATATTTAATATTACTAAAATTCATGTCCCACGATCAGAGGACTGTTTACATATTCCATGTTTGGCAGAAATTAAAAAAAGGAAAAAAAAACAAAAAAAACAAAGAAGGGATCACCGACGAACCCTCATTTTTCCTTCTAAAGAAATCCTGTGCCGGTGTCTCACCAAAACTCGCCGGGCTTAAATTCCGGGAACAACCCCTTCAAACACTATTACACGATACAACAAACTCGTTAATTAGATTCAGAAAAACACGACGCTCCTCAGAAAAAGAGAGACATATAGGGAGTCCTCAAATGAAAAGGTTGAGAACTTTCCGGTCTCCACTGTGATCCCACTGATCCCCGAATCTGCTCTCCAAGCACGCCGTCGTCGTGCCGGACTCCTCGGAGGTCATCGATGGCGAGACCGGCCGCCGACTCTCAACCTTTTTCTGTAAGAAAATCGGCGTCAGCCGGAGATCAAGATTCGGCGCCGCCTGAAGTTTCGTTGGCTCCTCCAACCGCTTGCGTTTACCGCCGGAAGAGACTTTGTTATGAGATCTCGAGTTCGTGAAGCCGTAACTCGGGTTCGGGTCTCGGGTTCTCCAAATGTCGGAGCATGCAACTTCCGATGCCTCGTCGGCAGCGGCAGCGGCGAGTCCCATGAGCTCCGGCATGGGCCTAAGCGTGCCTCCTCGGAGCACGGTCTCCACCGCCGCCTGGCAGACGTGCCAGTTCCCGGTCCAGAGAAGGCCCACAGCACCGTTGACGGGGTTGACCGTTCTCCCGCACGCTTCGAACAGCAGGGACTGAAACAGAGCTGCATAGGTAACAAGCAAAGAAGAATAAGCCAAGGCTAAGAATATTGTAGAAAGAGTCAACATAAAAAAGGTAAAATAAAAATTTACCAGGTCTTTGGTTTTCTGGAACGTTGGAGACGAAGGACATGAGGTCAGCACGGCCAAAGAATTTGGCAACGAAGACAGTGGCGTGGCCTTGAGCTTCGGCGGTTTCGATCCACTGCAAACAGGGACGCAACACACAGGATTCGCTGCATCCCTTTCGAAGAACTCGGCAGCCGTTGCAACTCATGCCTGTTTTGCAACAATCACATGAACACAAATAGCAGGTAAGAAAGGAGGAGCAACGGGGAAGTGGCCTAGAAGGATAATAGAGAGAGAGTAGATTAGAGAATGCATTTGGAGGTTGGGAAGGGATATAAATAGGGAAAGGAATGCGAGAGAGGAGATGTTGGGGGAAGTGGGGTTGGTAGTTAACTATGGTTGGGTTAAGGTAGTGGTGGAAGTGGAAGAGAGATGTGAGGAAGCGAGAGTGCGTGCGCTGTGTTGTATTTAATTCTGCGGGCACTGACCTTTTCTGTTTGCATAAGGTGAGATTCCAATGTCTTTGGCGTCAGCGGCTCCGTGTTTCCGCGCATGGATGTTTCCTACGCCGTTCGATTCTATATATTTCACCAAAGTTATTAATTCGCTATTAAAAATATTCTATGTTTTAAATGGATTTTTTCTTTTTTATAGACTATTTAATTTGTAAATATATAATTAAAGTTAATATTAATATAAATATTGAATTTTAACTTATTCATCACGTACAAAAATAACATATATTCATCCTAATGGGATGAGTTTTGCCTTCCGATCCCGTACTTCGACTTTTTTAATCATCTCTATTCTCATCCTATCGATTTAAAAATTAAGTATCTATTCTCATTCATGTTGGGTTTGAGGTTTCTCCGCTCCGTCCCCGTTCTATGGTATTATTTTAAAAGTAATTATATATAAATTATAATAAATTAATTTTAAAATTATTATCTTTTACGTTTTATTTTTTATAAAAAATAAATATAATATTATAATTTTTAGAATATTATTATTAATTGAGTGTATATTTTAATTTATTACATTTATATTAAAATATTTATGCACAAAAAATATATTTGATCATTCTTTCTTCTTCCTATTATAAGTTCTTAATCCTTTAAAATTATTAATTCTTGTAAAAAATATATAATAAAAATAAGTTTCAACTAATGATCCTTTTAAAACAATTATAAAATACATTTAAATATACTAATAAATAAATAAACAAAGTTTCTCATGGGAAATAATATAAGAAAACTGCATAATAATGCATAACCGTGCATAACAATACATATAAGAAAAATAACAAATATTGGATAATTTAATTATCATCTTTCAAATGAGTAACAATGTCACTACCATCAATTCACCTACATAATTTAAAATAAAATATATTATTGAAAAGAGAAATAAAATATTAAAAAATAAATAATAATATTTTTTGAATAAATAACATAATATTTTCATCACGAGAATTTATTTCATTGAATAAAATAACATAGTTATCAATTAGTTGAAAATTCACACCACCTAAAAATAAAATATAAAGAGAATACTTGTTAAAATCTAAAAATACAATCATTAAATATATATTTAAAAAGATATATAAAACATTACCGTTGTTTTCAGCACTCCATAACCAACTCCTAGCACACATCAAAGCCTCTAGAGTAGTCCAATGAAGTCTACTGCGATTGGGGCTTAATATTTGACCACTAATACTAAATGCAAATTCAGAAGTTACAGTGGAGTTAGGGATAACTAATACATATTTAGCAATTGCTTGAAGTATTGAGTATTTGACTTCATTCAACTTCAACCAAATTAAAATATCAAAATCACTTTTTCTTAGTAAAACCTCTTCTTCTAAATAATGGTCTAACTCTGTTTTAACATATGTATTTCTTGCCATTTTTTTTCTCAAAATATACCTATCATACTCAGTTAATGTATCACCAGCAACATTAGTACCATCCCTTGTTGGAGACTCGCCAAATGTGTTTTTATTCATTTTTGTTTGATACTCAGAAATCAAGTCATAACATAATTGACGAATCATCCTAACTTGCAAAAAGTATTCATGACCATACAACTTTTCATAATAATATTCAAAGTAACTCCATTTTGTATCTAGGATCCAAAACAGTAGCGACTCCCATAATAGCATGAATCACATTCCAATACTTATCAAATTTGAACAACATGTTCTTAGACATTTTTTTAATCACTTCATTTGGAGATGCAATTCACTCAATCAATGTCTATTTAATCTCACATATATAGGAAAAATACAAATTAGCAGTTGGATGTTTAGTAGCAGAAAATAATTTTGTTATAAAATTGATCAATTTCAACTTTTCATAAACATCCTTTGCAAATTATCATTGTAAACTAGTTGGCAAACAAGTATACTGAAAATCTCGTTGCTTCAATTGATTAAATACATCTTCATATATTATGGCAATTTCAAGCATTTTGTATGTTGAATTCCATCTTGTTGGACAATCTAAAACTAAGCTCCTAGTACAAGAGATGCGCAATTGCTTTGATGATTCTTCAAACTTTTCTTTCCTCTTAGGTGTTGCTGACCAATATGCTACATTACCCCAAATTTTTTCAATATCATCTTTCACTACCTCTACCCCATCTTTGACTATCAAATTTAATATATGAGCACAACAACGCCTGTGAATTAAATCTCCATCTCTCAATAAAGTATTAATTTGCAATTTACCCTTAATTTTTTCAACCATAGCATCATTTGTAGTACAATTATTAAGGGTGATAGTGGATAATTTTGTATTAATGTTCCAATACATCAAACATTCAACTAATGCGTTGCAAAGTCAATTATTTGTGTGAGGAGTCTGGAACATAAATGAATCTAACATAATAATATTCACATAAATTTAATCAATATTCAATCATTTTACCATACGAATATACAAATAAAAATAATATAAAATATGACTAGGAAAGTTATTTGTTACCTTAAAATGTGACTCCATAAGTTTCAAGAATCATTAATATAATGAGCAGTGACAGTCATATATCCTCTTTATTGATTACCTCAAGTCTACATGTCTGATGTAACGTCATTTTTTTTTCTAATTTATTTAATTTCTCAAAAATGGGAATAATTTTTTTTTACAATATTATTTCTTTATGACAATGAACTTTAAAATTGGTCATGCGTGAATAAATATATATAAATAAGGTGTCGAACATGTTCATACATAACATTCATAATCATAATACATTGTTTTTCAAAATAACTAATCCAACAAGGATCATATTATAATTACATAAAGTTGGTACCCTTAAACGATTAGAACTTAATTTAAATTTATACATCTCAAAATAAAGCAAATCCTAATCGGAGCAGGTACCCAAAATTCCTAACTTTCTTATACAAGATCATACCCTCCCCGAGAGGCGACATTCTTCCATACATATGTATATGATACTCAATCAAACTGTGGTTCCTCCACCACAATTGTTCCATCATTACTTGAAATATAACAGTAAGGATGAGTTTCCTTTTCTCATATCTCCAGAACACTAAACCGAAAATTTTTCCAACCTCTACAATCTAGAACCATATGTAACATTTATAGTTAAACATTTCATTTTTTTTCAATAAAGTATCCCACACAGAAATTTCAAACAATTTCCACAAATCACATTACTCAAACTAAAAACACACAATACATGTTTGTGTTTCATTCGTTCATTTTTATCACATTTGAAATGCTCATGCACCTAGGATACACTATCAATCCCATCTTTCAATCCATGAAAGGATCACACATAAGTACAGACAACTCTCACAAACATAACAAAATTACACACGAGCATAAATGGCTCACAGAAGTATAGATAGTTGCCGGTTGATCTGCGCATCACAGATACAATGCTTACGCATAACGATCCCTTGGCAAAAAGGCAAAGTCAAAGAGTCAAGTCGGGAGTATAGAGCGTGGCCAAACAATACACTCTATATTTTCCCAAGATCAATCTGATCTTCTCTTATCTCCTAAGCCCCCGGTGTATCTCCGTACCATCCACACACATATCTCGTCACTGAGTGACACCACCAACTCTTTAACAACAATATATTTGGTAGGTACAAACTCTACATCATACAGACCATATCACTATAGACATAATACCCTATTTTTAGATGACCAACATCTCTGACTTAGACTCAAGCACATAGTACAAACAGCTTATAGACATGATTTCCACTAACTACCATGATTATGAATGCATTAACTATTCATAACATTTCTTTATACCATTCTTATTAAGCTTTATTTATTTTTCATCAATTTCAAAAATTTGACAGAGTCTCCTTTGTAATTTGGACATTTCCCAATTTACAAATACATTCAAATCAAATTTATAAACACATTTTCCTGCATCAAACAAGAACAATAAAAATTTGTCGAGAGTCGGACACTCTCAGACTCAGCACACATTGCGATCCATCAAATTTTCTAAACTCTTGTTATTCTAATCTTGTGTCCCAAAATGTCTCATTACACTATCATTCTCACATCATACATACTCATAAAATAAATAATAGGTCCAGAACTAAAATTTTGTTTACACTTCTCTAGGAAGAAAAATCTATCATAAGCATTAGAAAAGTGTAACTTTGGAAAAATTCTTTGCCATCTAAACTAACTCCAAATTCTATGAAATTTTCCAGTCCAAAATACATATATTCTAGGATTATAATAAAAATTATAATTCAAAATTTAAAGATTTCTAAGTCATTCAAAACTTTCCTCCATTTTCATACGTTTTGAAGATTCCACTATCGGGGCATCACTCAAAGATATATTTTTATAAAATAAAATAATGGTCATAAAATTATGTAAATAAATACACTTAACATATACCTACAATCACAACTATGATAAAAAATTCATCTCAAAAACTTCAATTTCGATTTTCTATGATTTTTCAAAGTTGCTGAGCAAACATAACAATTCTGTTTCACCCAACTCAAAACATATTTACTTCCAAGATTTTTCATCAAAAATCAACTGGTCAGAAAATTTTGAAATAAATCACACACAAACTAGACATATAAAGGAACATGTAATCAAAATTTCAGAATTAAATACCAAGTAAATATTTTTACATAATTTCCCAAAGATTCTATTCACATGCAGATTCTTGTCCAATAACATCTCTCAACAC